AAAAAAAAAAAAAAAAAAAAAAACGAAAATAATTTAGAAAACAGCCCCACAACTTCTACCTAGTACTCCATGCTCGTACTTCTTTCTTTCTTTTTTTTTCTTTTTTCCTTTTCAATCCAAATGCACTTTGAACGGAGTGTGTTGATCGATTGACAGAACGGGACAGTGATTGGTGGATCATTAAAAAAGGTTCTCGGTCACTAAGTGGATTTTCCAGCTACGAAAGATCAACGTCTAAATCTAAATCTAATCTACATTCCTTTTCTTTTCTCTATCCAACCTTTTTCCTATTTCAAACAGCACTTCCATTGGAAGCCCTCTCATAAACACAGCACCAATCAGATGGTTATGGATAAAAGCCTAAATGGCCATAAAGAGTTGTCACAATAGCAGGCACTCATTCTGGAAAGGAAAACCACAAACTGCAACTACAACATCTCTTCCATTGCTTTGAATAAAATTGATGTGAAAAAAGACCAACAAATTTTATTACAATCCCATGCTTAGTACTTTCGTTTCCTTACCTTGAAACTCATTGATCGAACAACGTCGTCGTCTGCTTGAAGTGCTGCCTCGAGAACTCCCATTGATTCGGGTTTTGTGAAGTAGGTGAAGAGGAGAGAGATTCCATCCAAGTAAGTGTTTGTTTCACCAGCTTTGTTTTTCTTCTTGATGCTATATGCTAGTGGAACCACCCCTTTGTGGAATACCTCCACATACATGCCACCCCCAGCAACAAGCAACTGCAAAAAAAATGGGCCATTCTTTATCAAACACTATGCGGAAAGAAAACAAAACTAGCTTCACTCTCATCCACCAATGATTGTCCCTTTGACCAAAGAATCATTTGCTTATATAGAGCTAAGACCAAAATTATTCAATCAACTAAGATCATCATTGCCAACTTGAAGACAATCAAACTAGTTAAGGAATACGTTTTTCACCAAGAGATAGAGGCTCAAATATCCACCTCCACTGGTTGAACGGAAAAATAAAAAACAAACAAAAACTACAAAAAAAAATCATTGGTTTATGCTTACAGCACATAAACCTTTAACATGACAACCAGAATTCTCCACTTATATCAAGGATAGCTAAAATAAATCTTTCACAAAGATGATATCGATATTACTTTATTTTATCATAACAATACACATGCATCAAAAGAGCAATAAAATTTTTTTTGCACAAACTTTGTATTCCAATGTCTTTATGATAAGGTGTGCATACTTGTAAAGAACATGACAAGCAAACAGTTCCCTTTTAGAAATGAACTGCCCATTCAAGCAACTATGTGGCAATTCGGATCATGCAACTTTTCCAAAATTGTATGGTAACTTTCATCTCTTTCCTGCCTTTCTTGAATGTTCTCTCATAAATATGGTCTCACGCTGCCACTGTCATCTTTACAACAAATCAGCTGGTGCCTTTCACATCAAAGTCGTTCAACACCAAACTATATTCTCAAGCACAAAAAGTTGGTTCGGGATAAGTTTTGTGCAACATGAGATCAAAATGTTGATTTGTCTATTCCAAACTATAAGCTAGCTAATCTGACAAGCAACATTAATTTATATTATACAAATCAAGACTAACAAAACCCATAATTTAGACTACAAACTAATTCTAAATTCTAAACTCGCCACCTAAATTCTACTTACACGCACTCGTTAGCATTCCCATAAAAGCAACTAGCTTGTAAAAACTACAGTCTAAATGTTCTGATTCAGTAAAGCTCTTAACTCATTCATTTGCAAGTGGTTTCTCAGGAAGACCACAAGGAGTATATAATCTTCAACAAAATTGAAACACAGCAACAAATTGACTTAACTCACAGATACAAAAGTTCTATAAATTTTCACTTTTCCTTCGTATGCATTTTCTTTCACTCATAAACAAAAGAGAATTTAGGAGGAAGGGAAAGGTAACATGAAAGTACCAACGTTTCAAATGTTACTACCTCTTCGTATTTCTGGGTGAGAGCGAGTCTCTCATCTTCAGACATGTCAGGCCTCAGAACCACCATAGATTCGTACTTCCGAAGTCCAGGAGGGCATTGAGGCTCCTCCTTATCTTCAAGGTCAACAGCGAAGCCTGTCCCCGGAGAAGCAGGGGGTTCATCCTCAGTCCCGAACCCACCTTGGAAGAACGAGCCTGAAAATTCAAGAGTTTGGGCTTTCACGGATAATCCGAGTCCCAAAGCAGGGTCGATTCCGTCGGGAGAAAAGAGGGATTTGGAGGATCTGAGGGTAAAGGGGAAGGAAATGTGAGGGGTGAATTGAGGAAGGGAAAGGGGTTTGGAGGAGAGGGGAGAGGTTGAAGAAGTAGCGGTAAGAGTGGACGTGAAGGCCATGTTAATTTGAATGAGTTCTGCTGTTGAGGCAGACTCGGAAATTCAGTGGCAAGAAGATAGATATGGATAAGACTCTACCCGTAGACCTTTGTGCAGGCCGATATCACGTTCATGAGGGTACGAAGCACTTCGGCTGGGTTGATTTAGGTAAATTGTAAAAGCCACCAGTAACAAAATTATTCCCCAACTTCCAAAATCGCCCTAATCGGTGATTTATTCTCAGTTTATGACTTGAGGAAATTTGAAGTGTAATAACCTCCTATTTAAGGTGCCGTTTATTGTTGTTTAATTAAATATATTTAAAATTTTGATTTAGAATGTAGCAAGGAAGTACGTAGCACAATAACCCATTTAAACTTTCTTCAGTCTAGTCCAAGTCTATCCATAAACAAACTTGAGAACTCAATCCTTTTTGTTCTTCATACCAATGAATATGGAAAGTATAATGCATAAGCAACTAAAGAGTTCAGACAGAATTCATCAATAACCATTCACAAACCATGCCGTAAAGCCTTTTTTCATAGTCTCTCTGCCCGATCCCTTTTCATCTTCACCAGAAATGCAAAAGCTTGTGTCTTTTCTTGTATCATAATTTCTGTTGCCGAGCTCTACTATACCATGAGACCAAAGGTCCCATAGCAATCCAGAAAATATATTAATACCCATACCAAGAGAGGCACGTGCACTTTACCTTTCAATTGATTAACACTTCATCATGATGACATACAATCATAGAAAAATTCTAATACATACACGAAGTTGACCAGAAGATATGAAGTGTAATTATTAAACCAATTTCAAGTGATAATCCAAGGATCTTATCTTGAAGGATTCATTAACGGTAAACTGCAAGTAGCAATGCTTCTTCATCCTCTCATGCTAGCTTTCATATAAATCCAGAATATTCATGATAGGAATGTTATTAAGGGGTATATTAGTTATTAGATAGGGGAGTTGTTATGGTATTTGGTTACAAATATAGAAGGAGCGGGAAAGAAGCAAGGTAGGTAGTTGTTATGGTCTTTTTCATCCAAGTAGCTTAAATATTTGGAGAGTTATCTTGCAGTTTGGTGATCTTTTATATTTCAAGACATTTAGGTTCTATCAATCCAATGTGGAAACAGCAAGGGAAGCTTCTGGTATCCCTGGCTGTTATCCCTGATATCTGAATCAATCCTTGCTAAACGACCGACTGCAACACTGCACAAGAAATCTACCATTCCGCAGAACAAATCTTCGGTATAAGAAGTAAAACTACGCAATTTTTGCCAAAGTAGGCATAGCTCAGCGGTAATTAATATCTATTCTCGACCAAGAGGTCTGAGATTCGATTTTCCTTCCTCAAATGTTGTTGAACCCAAAAACTATGCAGAACAAGAATCAATCAGAAAATTAGAAGAAATGACTCTTGATGGTTCTTCCAAAAAACAAAGCTTCTGGCTTTTTTAGATCAATCATATTGCTGTTATTTCTTTCATTACCTCAAAATCAAAAGTTCAGCCATCTAACATGCAATTACTCTTCTCCTTGCGCAAGAACCAGGGTTACAAGGAACACTGTTCGTTCAGATGGAACATTGCCCTCTATGTCTCGTTTTCAATCACAAAATAGCAAATAAAGTATTAATGGGTCAAATGTTGGAGATAATGGTTAAAGGTCAATAATGGTCCATTTATTCAGAACTCAATGCATTCTGAATTCCAGAGGTAGCTGTAAACGTTTTAGACAAGAAAGAGGAGGAACGAAACCTCAGTGTCAGCTATATGTGACAGATTTGGTGACATGGACCTAAAACATTACCGTCACTTCGATCAGAAACTTTTTGGATTCACAAGTAATTTCAACCCAAGAAAGAATAATGGTTATTTCTTCAGTACCGACTGCCATGGCAGCTACGGTCGATCTCTCATCTTACAGCAATCGAAACCTAAACTTTGGGGCAATGAATCATTCACCAGTGAGCTAGCTAATCCACGGTAGACTACAAATACTTCATATAGAATTGGTCCATATTGGCAAGGCAATTGAGCTGGTCTTTATATGACTCGATGCTTTGTTTCCTCTTCATTCTCTTCCCATATTTGCAAACTTCAGAATCTTCTTCACAATCCACAAACCACAGAAAATCTTCTTAAATATAAGTTAATTGATAGATAATAATGTTTTTTATATTTCATCCAAATATTTGTGTAACGAAAGGATCGAGAAACTAGAACAATTCTACTCCATGGAACTTTGCATGCTGATCTTTTCAAATTCAATCTCCAGAAAGCATCATCTTCTCGGTCAAAGGCATAGTTTGTATTTTCTGGCTATACAATTTCCCACTATATTGCAAAATGCACTTGTTTCTAAGTCGTGTCAAATCTTTTTTCCAAATAAGTCCTCGCATTTTTCTTTTGTATGGCTCAAAAAGCTAGATCTTCCTTCCCTAAGTATCATAAATATTTGTAAGTTCTTGTAGCATGCCCTTTTTTTACGAGAGATAAATTTGTTAGGAAGAAGTAACTCCATGTTGGTATGATATTGTCTACTTTGAGCATAAACTCTCGCTTTGGCTTTGCTTTTGATTTCCCCAAAAAAAACTCAGGGAGATAGGGTCTCTCACTTATATTCATCTTTTAATTAGCCAACGTAGGACTCCAACAATCATCCCCTCAAACAAAGGACACCATAGAGCCTCCCCTGAAGCCTCTTTCTCTAGAGTCCTCGAACAAAGTATATCATTTGTTCAATACCTGAGTCACTATGACTACGCATTCGAGGTTCACAACTTTTTTGTTCAACACTTAAGGATTCTATTGACATAACTAAGTTAAGATAAGGGCGTGATTTTGATACCACTTGTTAAGAACAAGAAACCTCCACATTGATATGATATTGTCCACTTTGAGAATAACGTCTCATGACATTACTTTTGTTTTTCTAAAAGGCCTCATGCCAATAGAGATAGTGATCTTCCTTTTATAGTGAATGTAAATGTAGGACTCCAGAACAGAACTTATTACACGGTTGTCAACTTGGGGAATTGTCAAATTTTCTTTTCTTCCACACAATCTCTTAATAGGAATCCTCGATCTTGTGTAATCTAAGTTGTAGGGATCAGATCATAACTCTTCCAACTACGGTTCTCATCACTAATATAAACTTTTTTCATATCTTCTCTCTTTATATTATGTTTTTAAGTTTAAATCCAAAAACCTTCCAATTAAAGTTACCTTTGGCATGGCTTCTATATATTCCAGGGAGGTAATTAGGTTACTTGGAGTTCAGAAAAACAACACCTATTTATATGTCTAGCTCTGAGGCTGAGTAGAGGAGTTAGCAATGTTACTTCCAATGTTTTATCGAGAAGGCAGGTCTCATATTCATCAACATTATTCTCTACCAAACCACTGCACATTTGCCCCCCTCCCCAAGAAAAAAGATTTACCAACCAAGAAAACAAGTCATGAACTAACCTGTCTCCTCTGTTATTCTAGTGTCTGGGCTAGTTTGTGGCGACCCATAGCACTTCAATCTGCTCTTCTTAAATTCTGAAATTAAACGGAATGACAGTGTTAGAACCTAATTCAAAAGCACATTGCTACACACATGATGACAGTAGCACGTATGAAGTAAATGGTATTCACCAGTATGACTAAAATTATAGCCCAAGTTATGATCGCCAAAACTACTTTGGAATAACAATTGGGAGAGAAACAACAACAGACATGGTGTATTGGCCAAATAATGCAAGTTACCTCTAATTATTTTATGCGAAGGGCTGAGAGTCGGCTGAGTCATATTCTTATCTGCACCTGCTTAAGTCACAAACAGAGAATAATATTAATCATAATCCAATCAGTTAGAGAAATGAACTTCATTACGTGCTCATTAATTATGGAGACAGTTAAAAAAAAATGAACCAAGGAGGGACTAATTACCAAAGCAAACAGAGCTATTTCGGAAGTTTTTCCCTCGCAACACAACAGATTTTTCAGGTATCTTATCATTGCCTGCTTGGAAGTTCAGACCAGACTCCAGCTTATGATCTCCCTGAGAAGCATCAGTGTCAACAAGGTAACGGTTGAATATAAGCGTTTCGCGGGAGTAAATTACTTCATCTTGCTTTAAGAGCCTGCATTCTAGAAGCTTCGCGCACTCATCATAGAGCATCATCTGTGTGTCGATCTAATCATTAGAACAAATCGACTAGTCTAACAATCAGAATAAGAAAATTCAAATTCTAGGCTTCAACGCCACTGATGCTAGATAACTCCATACTTTCCAGTCCAAAATCTCAGAAATTCGACAAGTTCTTCAGCAGAATAACAAATCTACGAATTCAAAAGATGTACAGTGAAGACAAATTATAGAAGAAAGAGAGACCTTGTTGCTGGAGAGGTGGATGCCTAAGAAACCGCGTGATAAACTTTGCGTTTCTGCTTGAGATGCTTGGTATAGGTCACCTTCCATCGATTCGTTTCTCCCATTGCCACAGCTTCTTCTCTATCAGCTTTCTCAACTCAAATCAAATCAAATTCAGCGAGATCAGATCTTGGAATTGCGACGAGTTGGGTTGAATTTAGTACAGCGATTTGTTATGGCGGGAAAAATGTCCGGTCGCTGATTTGAAGTCGTCAAATTGTGGGACCTTTTATTTTCATGATTTAAATCTTTTATTAAATTAAGTTTTTAGTCTCTCCCATATTACATGCACTTCAACTCACTTTGTGTTAAATACCATGATATATGCTTCTTTTTCTTTTTTCTTTTTTCTTTTTTCTTTTTTCTTTTTTCTTTTTTCGGTATCTAACATTAACTTAATATTTATATTATAAGAACTCCAAATTTTAAAGATGAATATTTATTAATTTTTTAAAAGTTTATTAATTTTTTAAAAGTTTATGGGTGAAGGTGATTTTTTTTTTTTTTGTTTTAAGATAATCAAATGTGATTTTAATCCCGAGTGAACGATCGAACTTTTACTTTTAAGGATTTATTGTTCGATCGAGCGAAAGTGATTATAAATTAGGACTCATCAAGTCTTGATTTCGGTACTTGAATAAAAGAACCACACCCTCTCATTAGCTCCATGAACTTTTGATAACCAATATTATACGAATAAAATGGAGATGAAACTGTAATTACGAACAACTCGTTTAATTCGTATAAAATCAAATTATTACTATAGACACAACTTGTTTTTTTAACCCCTTGTTTTATTTTTTAACCCCTTGTTTTTTTTAAGTGTCCATATTACTATAGACACCGTTGTCTTTTTTGTTAAAAGATATCATTCGAGATGAAACTGGCATAATTATAGGGTCAAATTATTTTAATAATAAATAAAAAAAATTACCCTCCCATGGAAAAAGTTTTACCACTTTTCACAAAACAGTAATAATAATAATTACATTTTCAAATTTCTTGAGAGTACTAAGAAGCCACAATACAATTCCAAACCTAACTTATGAACACTTCAAATTTCCAAATATATTGCAAGAGCACGAAAATCTAAATCAAAAGCGCCTTTTTGTTTCCTTTCTTTTTTCTTCAGAAAACAAAAAGACCCAAAAAAAAAAAAAAAAGGTGGTGCAAATGTCCTAAATGCCCTTCCCGAAAAGAAGAAAAATAAAACCATTATTATTATTATTATGAAAACCATATAATTCCCAAAATCATGAACAAAAAAAGTTCTTTTTGAATATGAATTGGTTTTTACTTCCACGCATCCAACTCATCCATCTCGCCGCCCACCGCCGGTCAAGTCTTGTGGGGTGGCGCCGTCGTGTCTGAAACAGGAGCAGTGCCCGCCACACCACCGGCGGCTTTGTCCAGTGGGTAGCTGCAGTTAACGACGACTTCAGAGAGATGGATTTGGCCTTTTCTCTCGGCGATTTGGCGCTGAGTGGATTTATAGAAGGTGGCGTAGAGAATGAGCTGAATAAGTGCCGACAACGTCCCGAGGCCGTTCGGAATCTGAAATTTAAAAAAAAAAAAAAACGCCGTTAATGCAGTTTTTATCGTCAATAACAGAATCAACGGCGGATTTATATTTACCGTGATGAACGGATCGAAACGGATACAAGCATAAGCAGTCCAAACGACGCCGTTGGCTAACGATGCAAAGGAGAGAAAAAACGGCATATATTCCACGCTTTTTGTCTTAATTACCAGTTTCTGAATCACACACAATTCAAAACTCGTGAGGCCACGTCATCAGATTACGTGGATAATATAATATAAAAACATATTTTAATCTCCATAATAAATAAATAAATAAATATATTTTTACTGACCATGACAGTGAGTGGCGACGCATACATCATGATGTTAAAGACAATACAAACGGTGCCGACAATGGCGGAACGGCGGTGGAAGGAATGAGCCAAGGTGAGGACCAGAAGGGTCAAAACCGCCACGAAGATGACCTCAACTAGCAACACCAGAAGCACTTTCACCCGCTTCTTCTTGCCGTCGGAGTAAACCAAGAAGATGATTACGTAGACAAGCTCGATGACAGTACCGGAGCCGTTGATTGTCACGACGAGTAGGCTTCCCGGGTGCACCATAGGCAGGCCGTACAGCGTCCACATCATGCAGTTTATTAACGTGGCTAGATACGGCATCGGCGAGTACTGCTCCACCGATCCCTTCTTCCATATTTGGATAAAGGTCGGCCTACAAACATCAAAATTAAGAGAAATTTAATGCTCATTTTTGTCTCTATCGGTTGGGTTTATTTATTTATTTATTTATTTTTCCTTTAATGGGAGAGGGAGCGGCATGCAAGATATTATTAGTGATATAACAGAGAATTAAAAGAAAAAAATTTGTGGGTCGGCTAGAACTTACACTGGGGAGAGGAACAAGAAGAGGGAGATGACATTTCCTGGAAAAAAGAAGCAAGAAATTAGTTGATGGATCGAGAAATGGAGAGGGAAGTAGAGGAAAAGATGTTTTTAAAGAAACCCACCAAAGATTCCAAGAACGGTTCGAATGGCATCTGGAGAAACCATGGCGAAGGAAAGAGAAAATAAGACCAAGTGTTGTGCGTGGGAGTGGAAACGAGAGCCTTGTATTAGTATATATATAGAAGGGAGTGTAATGCGTTGGTGACTTGCAAGACATGAAATGAATGGGAAGGGAATCAAGAAGGAGAGAGATAAGGAGAGAGGTCGGCACTACCTTCAAAAACTATTGTGAGATCCCATGTAGGTCGATGGGGACGAAACGTTCAGATGCATTTTAAGATTGTAAGTCTTATCGCGTTGTATAATAGATCAAAATGAATAATATCTATTATTAATAGGCACTAGACTGTGTGTGCCAACGAGGATGCATGCACCAAAGGGGTTAGATTGGTAAGGGTGTGAAATCCCGATCCAATGGGGTTAGATTGGTAAGGGTGTGAAATCCCACATCGGTTAGGGAAGAGAACGAAACACTTTTTTTTTTTATAAGGATGGAAATCTATCCCTAGTAGACACATTTTAAAAACCTTGAAAGAAAGCTCAAATAGAACAATATCTGCTAGTGGGGAGTTTGGGTCGTTACAATTGGTATACGAGCCAGACACTGGGCAATGTGCCAGTGAGGAGGCTGAGCCCCGATGGGGGTGGACACGAGGCGGTGTTCCAGCAAGGACGTTGGGGTTCAAAGAGAGTGGATTGAGAGGTCTCACATCAATAAGAGAAGGGAACGAGTGTCAGTGAGAACGTTGGATCTCGAGGGGGGTGGATTATGAGATCTCACATCAGTTGTGGAGGAGAACAAACCTCTCCCTATCAAATGCATTTTAAAAACTTCGAGGGAAGTTTTAGAAAAAGTCAAAAAAATGATACTATCTACCAACGGTAGGCTTGAACTGTTACACTAATGACTGATGACAATACATAAAAGATTAAAGCAGACAATATCTCACAGCTACACCTACTCACGGGATTGAATACAGTTGTTTGGATTATAATAAAAAGTACTTGAAGTATGATCGGAAATTAAATATCGGGGTTGATGTGGTAGATAATGAATGAAATAAACATTGGTCGGTCCATAGATGACACATAAAATGTGATAATTTGTACATTTTGATGATACTAAAACCAACACGTCACGAACATATCCCTAAATGATGTAGCGAAATGGTGAGAAAGGAGGAGGAGAGAAACTGGAGGGAACAGATGGCGGTTGTGCATGCAGCAGATTCCCACTGAATTTAAGTCCACCTTATCCCAAACTTGCCTTGAACATGGTAACTTGTTAAATATAGTCAAACCCCCACTTATTCTGCCTTCTCTCTCCTCTCCCCCCTCTCTCTCTCTCTCTCATTTGAATTTATTACTCATTTAGTCAACGTTAAATGTCAAATTTATACTCTCCATTTTAATTTCAATTTCATTATTCAGATTCTAATAAAAATATTGACTCCATTTTGACGTGTAATATGTATTTATTGTCTCAATTCAAATAAATGCATTTAACAAAATTAGAAAAATCAATATTCACAAAAAAAAATAGCTTTACTTGTGGAGCTATAATTGCTTTAAATCATTAATTAACTTCCTAAAGATATATTATATATATATGATTTATTTAATATAAAATAAGAAATGCAGACGGTAGATCACAAATACCGAGTGAAGCGGTCATGGAGTTATACTAGCTCCTGAATGTGGCATTAAGCGGGTGCGTTTTGACATTGTACTGTTATTATATTATTATTATTATCATATTTCCAATGATTTATTGACACGTGCCATAGTGTTTCTAAGTGCAATGAATTAATTTCCTACTCTTTTTTTTTCTTTTTTTTTTCTTTTAATTTGATTATTTGGGTAAAAAAATAGTATTTTTCCCACTAAAATTACAGAGTAATCAAAGCAATGATTCATAAAAAGATAATACATTTTTTTTTCAAATAATTATTTGTAATTATGTTCGAGTTTACTAGACCGACTAAGGATGAGAGTAGGAAGAGGTAAAAAAAATGGTAAATTAGTATGTATTTTCAAGGGATCAAATATTTAAATTCTCTTCGTAATTTTTTTTAATTAAATTTTGACCACGTTACGAAGAATATTCAAAATAAAATTCGCAATAATGTTAATTTTAAAAATGACTTTAAATTGTTAAATCCCAGTAACTTTTGATCAAATATTTCAATTTATTATATGATTAAATTCAAATCATAATTTAATAAATAAAAATAAAAAGTAATTAAAAAGAATATTTGGAAGAAAGCCTGGACATGTATTTAATCTTTTTCATAAGGTGGGATATTGTGTTTATATGTTATTATATATTACATTTATTCCCAATTAATACGACGTTTCTTTTGATGCTCCCAGTTCTGCAGTTCTGATTGACAACACACCACTAAACAAGGAACAATTCATTGAATCTTATCTGAACTGTGTATTTTTTATTTATTTATTCCTTCAAGAAATTAAAAAAAAATAAATTGTCAAATTAGAAAAATTAAGTATATGATTTGAAACCCAAAGTTTACACCGTTTTTAATTTCAAAAGAT